GGCCAATGTTAAAAAATCAGGTTCAAAAAGGCCTGATGACAATAATTTTGGTCCAAAAAAACCGTTTCTTTTGTCCACGTGTCGTCCATGTCACTGTTCCGTTAACGTTGACTAACGGTAACTTGGTCAAGGTCTAAATCAACAATAAAATCGTATGTTTGGGTATCNAATTTGAATTAATTTGAGGTTCGGGTTTAAANTGGCCAATGTTNAANNATNAGGTCTAAAAAGGCCCGATGACAATAGTTTTGGTCCAAAAAGACCGTTTTCCCGTCAGATCTAAGTATGCCTCTAAGCAGGTTCAAACAATCCATACTTAGTTATGCGGTTCTCTGCTCTGTTTGGAATGAGCTATACGCGCTATAACTCCTCTCTTTCCAAGCCAACATTTGTCTTTGAGTCAAGAGATCAAAGGAACCATGAAGGCTAAGCTCCTTGGTCTCTCCCATGTATCTGAAGCTCCTTCCCAAAACTCCTTCTTGACTCGCTGGTTCCGACATCTTGACACATAACATCAAGCGAATAATCCAAGTTAACTAAAATCCAAGAAGTTCTTACCTGCTCTGATTTCAAAATTACAATCCTCCTTAAAGTAAGGCACGAAAAGCATAAGAAGAACGTGAACACCAGTCAATAATTAGTCCTATCAACAATTAACTACTACCTTTTAAGTATGCATGTCTAATTCAAGAAAAGTAAATAAATTTGGAGAAACTCGTGCTACGAAACTGTAAGACGGGAAAACAATGAATACATATTTTGGTTGAAAAGAAAATCTGATCTTGATGTACAAGAAAAAAACATCAATTTGAAGGCAAATGAAAACTAATGATCAACGACTCAAGTCTGAGAAGAGTAAATATTATTAATCTATTATATAAAAGCGTACATAACCTTTCAAGTGTTCTGGTAGGTGGGTATATAGTGAAAGTTACCTCAATATTTGTACCTCGATGATAATTGATAATCCACGGCCAGAGTTTGTGTGGTAAGGTTTGCTTCTTCATACAGCTTTTGCTTAAGAATGTAATGACTGAATTATAAAAAGGCAAGTGTGTTTGGCATAAATTACCATTTTCCAAGGCGAAGGAGTCAGAAGCATCCACCTTTTACCTGCAACAAATGCCCATCAGAGACCATGGAGAGTCATATCATATGTGAGGTTTGTAAAGAAATTAACTTATGATAAGCCAACAAAGTCACAAAGAAGTCACATTTGTAGTCAAAGACAACTGAAATCAAAATAACATCTTTTCGAGATAGCAGTACGTTTTTTTGGACACTCTTAAACCTACCAATGCTTCTCCTGCCCTATATTTCTTCTTTCTCCTTTTGTTCTTATTCAAAAAGAAAGGCGACGATGTTAGAAATTTTAATCTAAATCGCCTTCGCTTAGTTTCTCTTGGTAGTAAAAGATGTGCTCAATTATTCGATAAGGCTTCTCCTAGTGAGCCCCCACGAACATTAATTACACAATGAGTTATCGATAATTCTACCATTTGATGATGAAAAACTCACCGACCCAAACAATGGATTCGGGATTTCTATACTGCTATTCGGTTCCCAAGGAGGACCAAAACTCAAAATCTTCTGTGTATGCTTAGGAAGAAAAATCAAGTACAATCTATGTCATGTGCGTGTGTGTTGGTGAGTAAAAAATTAAATGAATAGCAAAAGGGTCGACACCTGTCCAAGGCTTTCAACTGCAGGAGAGAAGCGGAGACCACTATACGATGCACGTCATCTCTATCTCTGAATGTCATTAGGCAAGTCATTATTTGCAAGGCGAGAATCTGATTTCGCGACATGGATGACCTGCACTGTTCTTATTATGATAGCGGTTAACAACATCCACTAATTATCTACAAGTTTAGTGCTATACAATGAGTACAGAGCAAATGCAATTTTCAAAGAGAAGTTGCTTAAGACCTTGTACTCCTTCCACAAGTGTGTCATTTCTTCATAAAATCCTTCACCATACCAAGAAGTGAATTGCTTCATTGTTCTAGGTAAAGAAGCGGCAAGTATAGTAACTTCAGACTGTAGAAACGCTATTTGGTTTGAGATCGTAAGGAAACAATTGAAAGAAACATGTTCAACTAACTTGAAAGACATCTACTCAAACTAAAAACGAAAAGATATGCAAAATGAATAGATCATCTTCAAGTAGAGCGTTCAACAGCGTTTAGATTGTTTGTACGAGTTCTGACATCTC